AGCCCGATGCGGGACTCGATCCCGGGACTCCAGGATCATGACCTGAGCCGAAGGCAGTCGCTTAACCAACTGAGCCACCCAGGCGCCCCCTTTTTACGTACTTTTTAAAAAGATCATATCTTTTGACATGCTTTTCTTTTTCCATGATGAATCTTCAGGCAAAACTGTATCCTGGCTGATGAGATGGGACTGGGCAAAACTATCCAGTCCATTGCCTTCTTGCAGGAGGTATATAATGTGGGCATCCATGGCCCCTTCCTGGTCATTGCCCCACTGTCCACAATTACTAATTGGGAGCGAGAATTCAATACATGGACAGAAATGAACACTATTGTATACCATGGCAGTCTGGCCAGCCGTCAGATGATTCAGCAATATGAAATGTACTGCAAGGATTCACGGGTGAGTTGTAGATCATGGGAATCTAATGGTTTAGAGAGAGTAGGCCAAGGTACTTGGTATTTTAGAGGCTTTTATGTGAATAAAAGACTTCTGTTGAGATTTTCTGAGGTGATTTATGGTATTTTGTCTAGATTGCACAGGGAATTTTTTTCTTTATGTTTTGCTCTTCTTATCCAGTGGAATTTTGATCCAGTGGAAGTTCTATTTGTGAATATATGCGTTTTAAATAGAATTTTATCAGCATTGATGTGTTTTCATCAAGAAAGTATTGAGGTGGTGAACTTAAGCCACTTCTTTTTTTTTTCAAGTCTAGTAAAATTTTCATCAAGAGTAGTTCGTTTGTTCTATACAAATTATTCATCCTTTCTTAGTCACATTTTGCTGCTTTTAATTTTGTTAAACTGATTCAATTCTCCTGCCTCTTTTTAGACAGTAACTGATATTACCTGTTTCACTTTCAGTTTTGTCTTGTATATTTCAACAGTGCCCAACATTTGTGGATATTAGTGTTAACTACCAAAAGATCTAGGTCTAAGAATCATGACTTAATGGTCAAAAGTGTCCAGCTTCATTCAGTGATGTCTGTCATTTACCCAAGAAACTGAGTATCTTGAAGAGACATTGTATATTACATTCTGTGATTTGGCACTATTTATCAGGAAAATACACAGCAGCACAGATTGGTGGTGGTGCTGTTTGTATTTCCTACTGAGCCTGCCTGAATATAGAAAAAAGAATGTGTAATGCAGAAGAGGTCCCCATTTAGGTACATATTAGGTCTTTTCTTAACTTTATTGCCTTCATGCTTAGGGGCGCCTCATCCCAGGCGCATACAAGTTTGATGCCCTGATCACCACTTTTGAGATGATTTTGTCAGACTGTCCTGAGCTTCGTGAGATTGAATGGCGTTGTGTCATCATTGATGAGGCCCATCGGCTAAAGAACCGTAATTGCAAGCTGCTTGATAGCCTCAAGCACATGGACCTGGTGAGTTCCTCACATTGACTTATGGGCAGAAACACCTGGAATTAAAATAACCCTAATTCCCCGTGGAATTAATATAACTAAGAAAAAAAAAATCAGGATCTTAGTATTGGGTGGTGGGTATGGCCTATGGGAATGGACACCTGAAAGTCATATAAAAGTCCTATAAATTTTAGAATTGGAAGGTAGTTGTGTGTTAGTGGTTCTTAACTAGGTGGAGAGGTGGGATACTGTATTAGTCACCTAGTGCTACATAAGAAATACCCTAAAACTTAGTGGCTTAAAACAACTATTATTTTTTTAGGATTCTCTAGTTCAGCAACTTGGGCTGGGCACAGCTAGGCCATCCCTTTGGTGGTCTTGCCTGTAGTCAGTAATGTGGCTGCAGCTGGCAATTGGTGGGCTCCTGGGTCATCTTCCACATGACCTGTCATCCCCCAGTAGGCCAGACTTTGCTTCTTGACATGGTAGAATCAGGGCAGTATGCAGAGAGGGCAAAGGCAGAAGTTGCAAGGCCTTTGAGGTATAGGCTCTGAAACTCACACAATATCACTTCTGCTACATTCTCTTTGTCAGAGCAAGCCACAAGGCAAGCCCAGATTCAAGGGGTGAACCTTGATAGGAGGAACTACAGAGAATTAATGGCCATATTTAATCCAGCACAGGTACATTCCCTAGAGGGGGACATATTAGGATATCTGTGGGGAGTTGAGTGTGCAAAGGCATATGTAATTGCAGAAAAAACTGTATTTTTGAGTATTTCTTTATTTGCTTGTAATCTTAATATTTAAATTCTTGTTAAATAATAAGGTTTTTTTGGTTCTTTTTTTTTTGTTTTTCTTTTAATGTTTTGTGTTTATCAGAAGAGGGAGCAAGTGAAAGAAAAGTTAAGATAGTAATCTGGTCCATTCCCATAATTTTATAGATAACGAAATTAAAGCTAAAGTTATGTATTTAAGAGAAAACCCCAGAAGTCCTTTGTGTTTTTGAGTTTTACCATTTTTTTGTTTTCTCCATTTCTAGGAACACAAAGTGCTACTCACAGGAACGCCATTGCAAAATACTGTGGAGGAACTGTTCAGCTTGCTTCATTTCTTGGAACCTTCACAGTTTCCTTCAGAATCAGAGTTCCTCAAGGATTTTGGGGATCTCAAGACAGAGGAACAGGTAGGAAGTCTATCTGGGCAAGAAAGGTAAAGTTTGTACTAGGCACACATCTATTACCATGGGCAGCAAGGACCTCTCTGAACTCCTTATAATCTGGTGCCTACATCATTTGTGGCATTGTACAAAATCCACATTTTTCAGATAATGGAAAGCTCTCATTGTATTTCTTCATGTTTCCATGTAATGTGAGAATGTTTGTCCTCATAGTTTTTATTTCTTTTTCTCTCCTGTATTGGACACAGGTTCAAAAGCTACAGGCCATTCTCAAGCCAATGATGCTAAGAAGACTCAAAGAGGATGTTGAAAAAAACCTGGCACCCAAACAGGAAACTATCATTGAAGTAGAGTTGACCAACATCCAGAAGAAATATTACCGGGCTATTTTGGAGAAGAATTTCTCCTTCCTGTCCAAGGGGGCAGGTCATACGAACATGCCTAATCTACTCAATACGATGATGGAGTTGCGGAAATGCTGCAACCACCCGTACCTCATCAATGGTGAGAAAGTTCCTGGACAATACCTGCATTTCTGTATCACCTGTGTTTACTTGCTAATAATATTCCTCAGGAACAGCGGATATGTAGACTGATCCAGCCTAGTTTTGGGAGGGAAGGGGATTCTTCTTTTAAAACAAAAAAATTTTTTTTTTAAGATTTATTTATTTTTGAGAGAGAGCTCACCTGTGCGGGGGCAGAGGGAGAGGGAGAGTAGCAGACTCCCTGCTGAGTGAAGAGTCTGATGTGCGGCTCAGTCTTACGACCCTGAGGTCATGACCGGAGCCAAAATCAAGAGTTGGACACTTAACTGACTGCGCCACCCAAGCACCCTTTATTATTTATTTATCTATCTATCTATTTATTTAAGACTTTATTCATTTGAGAGAGAGAGAGCGCGAGCATGAGGGGTGGGGTGGGGAGGGTAGGGGGAGAGGGAGAAGCAGACTCCCTGCTGAGCAGGGAACCTGATGCAGGGCTCGATCCTAGGATCCCGTGATCATGACCTGAGCCAAAGGCAGAGACTTACCCGACTGAGCCACCCAGGCACCCTCAGGCATCCCTCTTCTAAAACAATTCTTATGTGGAATGTCTTTCTCTAGTTCTTTCCCCTTGATCCTGTATAATCTTCAAAATTATATGGGATTTGCTGTGCAGAATTTCATGAACAAGAACTCAAGTCATTCTGTTCTCTGGATAAATGTCCTCATCGCTACTCCATTTTTTAGTTTCTGTTTTGGATGCCAGTAGGGTGGTATTAGTTGTTTGCATGTACTGTTCTAGTCCTCATTGTTACAGGTGTTTTGTCTGAATACAATCTTAAGTCTGACTTATTTGCAGTATTTTGTATAACACAGTTGAAGATGATTTAGGATTTTCTGGGTGCTAAAATTCTCTGTGAAAAGAATGTTTATCTCAAGTCAGATTACTTTTCTTTGCTTCCTTATCTTAGCTAAGTAAACTATAGCTTTAGTATGTTTCTCCGGATCTCACCATCAAGTTTGGTTTTTCTTTTGGCAGGTGCAGAAGAAAAAATCCTAACAGAATTTCGAGAAGCTTGCCATATTATACCTCATGACTTCCACTTGCAGGCCATGGTTCGTTCAGCTGGCAAATTGGTTCTTATTGACAAGTTACTTCCTAAACTTAAAGCTGGTGGTCATAAGGTTCTGATCTTCTCCCAGATGGTACGCTGCCTAGATATCCTAGAGGATTATCTAATCCAGAGGAGGTAAGAAAAGAGTCATCCCTTGCCTTGTGTTTACTGTAGCTTCATAAAATTGCAAAGAGTAGGAGGGTCTGTGTTTAATGAAAGTTGGCCAGGACTGGGATAAAAGAAGTATTTAAAATTCTCACTCTCAACTTTCTGATAAGGTTTTTGGTCAGCTAGAGATACGGAATTACTGGTATTGATCCTAATCTGCTTTTTTGGTTTCTTTTTCTGCTTCACCAATTAATTTTTTTTCTGTAACTGCCATACAGGTACCTATATGAGCGTATTGATGGGCGAGTCAGAGGTAACCTTCGGCAGGCAGCTATTGACCGCTTCAGCAAGCCTGACTCAGACCGCTTTGTCTTCTTGCTCTGTACCCGGGCTGGTGGACTTGGTATTAATCTCACAGCTGCTGATACCTGCATCATCTTTGATTCAGACTGGAATCCACAAAATGACCTGCAGGTAGAGGAAATCATTGTTTTGGGGGCTAACTACCTACCTAACCTAAGACGTTTTTCAACAGGATCAGGATCTCTTAGAAAGACACATCCTTCAAAGAGTATGGAATTGTTTACTTAGTTTAAGGGTGGCAGTCTCCATGTAAGGGTGGCAAACTCTGTAAAGGGCCAGAGAGTAAATGTTTTAGACTTTGGGGACCATACAGTCTCTGTTGTAACTACTCATCTCTGCTCTTGTAGTCCAAAAGCAGCTGTAGACAATATATAAATGAATGGGTGGGGTTGCATTTCAGTAAAACTTTATAGAAACAGGTGGTTTTGCAGACCATGGTTTGCTGACCCCTGGTGTACTTGGTGGGACAATAATTTCATCTTAAAATTGACTTTTGGTTTTGAGTTGATCTCATGGCTGCTTTATAGATGTGAATTGGTATTTTGAATTCCATCTCCCTCCCCCACCCCACCCCCATTTTATGTCCTCTTTGCCCTTTCTTTCCATTTCTTTTAAACCAGGCACAGGCACGGTGTCATCGAATTGGGCAGAGCAAAGCTGTGAAGGTGTACCGTCTCATCACTCGTAATTCTTATGAGAGAGAGATGTTTGATAAGGCTAGCCTCAAGTTGGGATTGGATAAAGCTGTGCTTCAGTCCATGAGTGGTCGGGATGGCAACATTACCGGAGTGAGTCCTCTTAGTCTATAGATATATTTATAGCAGGTCATAGTGTTAGAGGGAGACAAAGCTATTTTTTGCACAGGAATCTGACCACCTTGTTTGGATTTCTTAAAATAGTTCTTAAAACATAATGAATTAAGTTATTATGATATGGTTAGATAATATTCTCTTCTTAGTTTTTTCATTTTATTATTGGATTTTGCAGATCCAACAGTTCTCCAAGAAGGAGATTGAAGATCTTTTACGAAAAGGGGCATATGCAGCCATAATGGAAGAAGATGATGAGGGCTCCAAGTTTTGTGAAGAAGACATTGACCAGATCTTGTTAAGACGAACCACAACCATCACCATCGAGTCTGAAGGAAAGGGTTCGACCTTTGCCAAGGTATGTTCTGTCTGTGCCAAATGCTAATGAAACAGAGGTAGAGACTGGAATCTTCTAGAATTTAAATATATTTTTTAAATACAGTTACTAGTTTCCCATTGCTCAAAAAAGTGTTGTAGTCAACTTTACTTTGTTCTCACTAGGCAAGCTTTGTTGCTTCTGAAAATAGGACTGATATTTCTCTGGATGACCCCAACTTTTGGCAGAAGTGGGCCAAAAAGGCTGACCTGGACATGGATCTGCTTAATAGCAAGGTAAGCTTCCTTTTCTTTTAAGGAGGAAGTATTACAGAAGACACATTACTTTCAGGTGCCTTTGTAGCTGCTCTGATTCTTTGATGCTGACCTTGGTTTGTGATGGTATATTGTATATAAGAGCCATTGTAAAAACTTTCTGCATGGGCAGCCCCAGAAAACTACTTAGATACCTACTGCTTAACTTTACTTCTGAGTCCCTATAGGTTATTTTGCATGTCCTAAAAAAAATCTCTCTTTATCTACAAATGTTATATCCAAGGCTATTTCAATCCATAATTGTCTTAATTCCTTTCTGATGGCCTTGTCATGAAGAGAGTTACTCTTCTGCTTCTGTTCTCTGTTAGAATAACTTGGTGATTGACACACCTAGAGTACGAAAACAGACCCGCCACTTCAGCACTCTGAAAGATGATGACCTAGTGGAATTCTCTGATTTGGAAAGTGAAGATGATGAGCGGCCACGCTCTCGCCGACATGACCGACATCATACCTATGGGCGCACTGACTGCTTTCGGGTGGAAAAGCACCTCTTGGTATACGGGTAAGAACCCACCTTGCCATTAGAGGTAGTGTATTTCCATCCTGATGGACACTCTGTTTGCCCTTCAAATTGGAGGCTGTGACCAAAGAGGGGATAATGGGAAAAAACTTTATTCTCTTACCATGTTTTCTCCAGATGTTATTGTCTCCTACCTTTTGGGAGTCCCCAGGAAAATATTAACACAATTTTCTGTTTTTCTAGTTGGGGACGGTGGCGAGATATCTTGTCTCATGGACGCTTCAAGCGACGTATGACTGAACGAGATGTGGAGACAATTTGCCGGGCCATCCTTGTATACTGTCTTCTGCACTATCGTGGGGATGAAAATATCAAAGGCTTCATTTGGGACTTGATTAGCCCTGCTGAAAATGGCAAGACAAAAGAATTGCAGAATCATTCAGGTAATTATCAGCTCTTTACTTTTCATATTTCTGTAGGTTATCTAATCTTTTTCAGGTCCAAGGGTTTTTCTCAATCCAAGTCTTCAATGTCTCCCCTTTCCCAGGTCTGTCTATCCCTGTGCCCCGTGGACGAAAGGGGAAAAAAGTAAAGTCACAAAGCACTTTTGATATCCATAAGGCAGATTGGATCCGGAAATATAATCCTGATACTCTGTTCCAAGATGAGAGTTATAAGAAGCATTTAAAACATCAGTGTAACAAGTAAGGATGGAAATTAGCAACGACTAAAGCATTTTCCACCTCAAAGTTTCTGCATTATTACTGAGCCAGCTCTTCTTCCCTCCCTTTTAGGGTGCTATTGCGGGTACGAATGCTATATTATCTGAGGCAGGAGGTTATTGGAGACCAGGCAGAGAAGGTGTTAGGGGGTGCCATTGCCAGGTACAGTTATGCTATATTTTTCTTTATGTATTTCTCTCTATACCCTGCCTTATTCCAGATAAGATTGGTTTACTTATTTCATTCTGTACTATCTTTGGGATAACTGATAATTAAGATCTGTATATCAGGTTTTTGATCCTATGCTTGATACCAGTGGAAGGAAATAGGCAGATCCATGAGCATTTAAATTAATGGATAAAAGAAGATACATATAATAATCTTCCCAAGGATTGTCATTTTAATTCCCTTCATTGCTGTGCTGTTTCTGCTCTTACACCTTTAGTGAGATTGACATATGGTTCCCAGTAGTGGATCAGCTGGAGGTTCCAACAACATGGTGGGACAGTGAGGCTGACAAGTCCCTGCTCATTGGAGTCTTTAAGCATGGTGGGTACCTTTCCTTAGTTTATTCCTTTCCTATTGTTGACTTACTTCCACAGATGGAACATGTAGCAGAATGCTCATGGCCAATAACTGAGTTCTCTGATTGAACTTCAATAAAATTATGTTTGAATAGGAAACTAGTTCTTAAATATCCAGAGCAAAGCAATTAGTTCCTATAAATAGATGTTCAAAAAGGCCAGATGGATAGTTAAATCCTAAGGTGGGGAGTCTCCCATCTGTTCTCTAATCCATGTTATCAGTCTGTATGTTTTGCATCTCAGTTAAGGTTCCACGAATCCGGGGAGGTAATGTATGCCCACTCCTATTAATAATAACCATGCTTAATTTGTGTGAAAATGTTCTACTTACGTAGCATCCCATATGTCTAAATATTCAACAGTCATTCTGATGGAAGTGTGACCTACAGTGAAATAAAAATAAAGTACAAAAAGTGAGAGTACTCCCTTTTCAGTCTAGCCTAATAACAAATTCTAGGTATTAAAAGCAGTGAGTGCTAACTAACTTCCAGCCCAGTGACATAATGAACTAGAATATCATTTCTTTTTTAAAATACTTTTCTGTTTATTTCTATAAAATATAAATAATGGCACTTAAACCACATGTTTTTAAGAACTTTGATGGATAAGAAAAACTGTGAACATTTTCTAGTCTTAAATTTACTTTTGGGACAAGGAGGTTTAGAAGAGTCCGAACACCCTGAATTATGTTCATTCACTCATTCATTCATTCTCTGTTCATCAGATACTCAGTGCCTCTTTGTTTGCAGGTGTTTCTTTCTTTCTTCTTTTTTTTTTTAAGACTTATTTATTTGAGAGAATGTGAGTGAGAGAGAGGACACATAAGCCAGTGAGGGAGGGGGAGAGGCAGAGAGAGAAGCAGACTCCCCGCTGAGCAAGGAGTCCAATGTGGGGCTCGATCCCAGGACCCTGGGATCATGACCTGACCCGAAGGCTGATGCTTAACCGACTGAGCCACCCAGGCACCCCTTGCAGGTGTTTCTTATCCTTCATTTGAAAATGTGTGACCTAGGGGTGCCTGGGTGGCTCAGTCGTTAAGCGTCTGCCTTTGGCTCAGGTCATGATCCCAGGGTCCTGGGATCGAGCCCCGCTTCTGGCTCCCTGCTCCACGGGAAGCCTGCTTCTCCCTCTCCCACTCCCCCTGCTTGTGTTCCTTCTCTCACTGTGTCTCTGTCTGTCAAATAAATAAATAAAATCTTAAAAAAAAAAAGGGAGGGGGGCGCCTGGGTGGCTCAGTCATTAAGTGTCTGCCTTGGGCTCGGGTCATGGTCCCGGGGTCTTGGGATCGAGCCCCGCATCAGGCTCCTTGCTCCGCGGGAGGCCTGCTTCTCCCTCTCCCACTCCCTCTGCTTGTGTTCCCTCTCTCGCTGTCTCTCTCTCTGTTAAGTAAATAAATA